TCAACTTGTGTGTGAAAAGGATAGTTTTTAACATGATTTTGTGCTGCGTTAATTAAAACCATCCTAGAGGGGCGCCTGGGTGGCTCAGTTGTTAAGCGTCTGCCTTTGGCTCAGGTCATGATCCCAGGGTCCTGGGATCGAGTCCCACATCGGGCTCCCTGCTCGGCAGGAAGCCTACTTCTCCCTCTCCCACTCCCCCTGCTTGTGTTCCTGCTCTCGCTCTCTCTCTCTCTGTCAAATAAATAAATAAAATCTTTAAAAAAAAAAAAAGTATCATTTCAGAATTGGCAGTAAATTGCAAAGATGTATCCTAATCCAGTTAGGGTACCAGCCGGAGTCTTGAAAATAAAACTTGTACTTGAACGTAAACCCCCGGTTAGGTGAGCCTTAAGTCTTCACTTTTAGATTTGGAACCATTTTTCATGTTGGTGATCATCATCCAAAGAATAAAGAGGTTGATTTCCTACTTTAAGATTGGAAAAAAATGTACAGATAGATACACACACATATATTCCTATAATAGGATACTATTATACTGCACTATATATATATAGTGCACTGTTTTTATGTATTATATTATACTATTTATGTATAATGTCATATGTGATATATCTAATAGTATAAATTATATTGGGGAGGGGGGAGGAGGTGACTGTTTCATATTTCTTTTTGAAGTTTGTCGTAGCAAAGCTGAAAATTTTGGAGAGCAAGCATGGCAGGCTCCAAGAACATTATACAATTTTATTTTAAGCTTTTAGTAGTGGTGGTGCTTCATTCAGCCTGTGACAGGAAAAGTAATACATGACTAGTGTGTTTCGTCTGCTGTAGCAATACCCTCTATCAGTGAATCTGTCTATCCAGCCAATTATATTCCTGTTGTCTGAAATTAAAGGCCATGGTGTTTTCTGACAATGTGGAAATTTCTGTTCAGTTAAGATACATGTTGTCAGTGAAGTGAAAATAATGAAATTGCAAGAAGTTAATTGATTTTAGCTGTATTACTGAATTCCTCCCTTCAAAAGTCAAATCCAGATCATTTAAAATTTCTTATAAAATAGATGAAATACCATTAAAGTATTAAAACTCAGCCTTAACAGTTTTTAGTATGTAGTAGGGACTTGATCTCTAAATTTGACTTGAGATGTAAACCATAGTAGTAGCATATCTACTCATTCACCTTGTGGTAGCCAGCCTCCAGGATGGCCCCCAATGTCCCCACCTGCTGATATATATTTTTTTAAGATATTATTTACTTATTTGACAGAGAGAGATATAGCAAGAGAGGGAACACAAGCAGGGGGAGAGGGCCAAGCAGGGAGCCCGATGCGGGGCTCAATCCAAGGACCCTGGGATCACTACCCGAGCCGAAGGCAGACGCTTAAGGACTGAGCCACCCAGGCGCCCCACCCCACCTGCTGATATTCACACCTTTGTTTAGTCCCCTCCCACATTTGCCGGGGTTAGTCTGTGTCACCAGGAGAATACATCAGTCACTTAACTTTACAACTTTAAGTTATAGAAGACACTGAGACACCCATCTTGGTGTCGATCTCTCTCTCCGCCCCCTCCCTCCCTCTCAGCCCCCCATCCCTCTCTCCCTCTCTGTCCCCCCACCCTCTCTCTCCTCTCTCTTTTCTCTCTCTTGTTCTGTCATGTCACTTGCTCTGTGGGAAGCCAGCACATGCAAGGACCCAAAGCCTATGCCAACATCCCAGTAAGCTGGGAAATAGATGCACCAGCCCAACTGTCTTCAGATGACTGCAGCCCTGGCCAACTCGACAGCAGCCTCATGAGACACAGAGTCAGAACCACCCAGCTCAAACCCTTCTAGATTCCTGACCCTCAGAAACTGTGTGAGATTAAAAAAAAAAAAAAAGGTTTACTGCTTGTGCTGCTATATTTGGGAGTGATTTGTTATGCGGGAATAGATAACCAATACACACCTCCATGAAAGCTCTTTTCATTCTTCAATTCTTAACATCTATTTTTGGTGGTGGTTGTTATTATTTGTTCTATTAAACCTGTCATCCATACAATCCACCCGACTGAGGCGTTAAGTTGGTTGAAAATACCATAGTCCATTTCCCATTTTCTAATCCATTGTTTTGTTATAATAAATACAGACTTTGAATTCACTTTCCCCATATCTGGGCCCCATATTGGAATGTACTTAAAAGAATTGTTTTGTGACAAGGAGCCTTTTTTAGATTATTCCACAGATTCTTTTCATTTATGTGCAAAACCACCAATTTTGTATAACTTGTAATTACTATGCAAGTGATTATGGAATTACTGTGAAGTACTTCAAGAGAAAACAGACAGCTTAACAACTGTTCTCAGAGAAGTCTGAGACCTCACCAAAGAAGCTCCTCATCTATTACTCGTAACTCAGTGATGCTTATTAATTATACAGGATAAGAACAGTGTGGGTTTTAAAAAGTCATGTTTTTAAGTATTAGTTAGCTGTATACTCCAGCCTGAGAGACAGCTTCTCAGCAGATCTGTCAAGGTCATGAATCGTACTCCTAGCTCTTGCTCTCCCATCCCACTTCCTCCATGCTGTCCTGAAAAGGAGAAGGCTGTAGACATACTCAGGTTTCCGTGTTCCTTTCTGCCCTACCAAACCAGTTTCGGTACCAAGAATCATTCCTTTCCCATCGCTAATCAGACCAAAATGGTAATCATGAATAAAACAACGTGACAGTAAGAAAAGTGGAATTTCAACTTTTCAAAGAGAGTCTTTTTTCCTCTTGCTTCCTTTGAGCATTTTTCTGAACTTGGATTTGCCTTTAGGACATAAGTAGCTACAAACAGGTACTTTCATCAAATCCTGGGTTGTCAATCTCAAGTTTTTATACCTGAACTTAAAGAAACAGATGTTCTTGGTGAAAGGAAAATATTGATGAGTCTCTGTTGTCTGACACTATTCCTTTTAAAAATGTAACTAAAAACTAGCCTTTTCTGTTTTACTCTTGCCATGATGTTAAAAAAGAATAAAAATAGCCGGTTCAGGAAGTGGTCTTGTCTTTCTCCATTCTAAAATGGAATAAAGACTATTTTGAAATTTTACTGAGGATTTTCTTTTTAATTGGGAGCTGAAAAAATAGGAGTCTGTCTTGGACTCTATCTTTCAAATCCTTACCCCTTTAATCCACATGCTTACACACCCACATGTACGCACACACACTTGTAGTAAGGGCAGGAAGATGGTTATCTTAAGATGGTAACTAAAAGGAACAAATCAGTTTGGTTCTTCATAGTTCCAGTATACCAGTTTTATCCAAATACCCCAATAATGTCATCATTTAAAATGGTTGTAGTTAGGGGCACCTGGCTGGTTCAAGTCAGAGGAACTGCGACTCTTGATCCTCAGGGTCATGAGTTCGAGCCGCATTTTGGGTGTAGAAATTAGTTAAAAAAAAAAAATCTTAAAAAATTTTTGTCTTAATGGTTGTAGTTAAGCCAGAAGTAAAACCCAGGGTTTCTAACTCTGCTTTGAACATTTGCCAGTTGATACCAACACAAATTGATAGCATAAATCTAAGTGATTCCTAGGTCTTAAACTTGGACAGTCTAATGAAGGATGCATCATGTTTTCAGGACTGAAACATACTTCTGTGTTAAATCCCATGTTTGCTCTAGTGTCTTGAAGGGGTTTTTTTGTTTTTGTTTTGCTTTGTTTTTTAAGCATAGCCATCGAATTGTGAATTTCCCTTTCTTTTCAAATGCGTTCCTCTTCGCGGATGCGGGTAGTAAGAAAACCTAGCTCCTCCCACCCCCCAAAAAAGAAAAAGAAAACCTAGCTTTTGGTGAAATGATTTTTTAAAAATTGATAAATAACAGTTTTCATGACTAGATTTCATTTGAGAGTTTAAATTATATAGTATTTTGCTGTGGTTTTTGAGAACGTTTCTTCAATGCTGTATTAACACTTGCCTTTTTTTTCATTGTAAAATGTCTCAGGAACCTTTTTAATGTCTGTGTAGTAAAGTAATTGTTAATGTCACTCTGTTCACCTGCATGTAATATGTAATGTTCATACGGAGTATCACTTCAGGTCCTTCCTAGTAGACCTGAAAGAATAGGGAAGCCAAAGAATATCTTTCCACTCCCTTCCTGATCTTTGGATCCAGTTTGGCACGCAGGCCCAAAGCCCTAAACCAGACTCCAGCACCAGCCCGCATTCCCTGCTCACCTTCTCTCTCATCCCTGAAGCCCACCAAGCCCTGAAGGGGACAGAAAGGAAGACGGCAGGTAGCAGGGAAGAGAGACTAGAAGAAGGGGTGGAATTTGGCAGCAGGTAGAAGGGATTTTGTCTGCAACTCTGGTCGTGAGTGCCTCTGCCCTCTTGACCGACCGATAACTGAGTGAGGTTCTGTATGTTCAGATCTCAAATGTCGTAGAATATAACGTGGAAACACTTTTAGCATTCTTTACTTATCTGCAACCGCCTTGTTACATCCCTAAATACGTAAACTCAAAATTCTCATGTTTACCATATTTTAGAAATGCAAATGCCATAACACAGAAAGAAAGGATAAGGTATCCCTGCTGGCAGTTACAAGCATTCATAAGCAGAGGCAGTAAGCATGGTGCTGAAGGCCAGACTGCCTAGATTTAAATCCTGATTCTGACCACTTGCTAAATGAGTAACCTGTTACTTGACCACATTATAATAGTTTTCTCATCTGCAAATTGAAAATGATAGCACTGTCTTAAAGGCTAATAAAATTTAAGTAAGTTAATGTGAATGTAAATGCTTATAACAATATTTAATACATAGTTAGCTCTACGTAAGAATTTGTCCTCTTTAATATTATTATACCGTGGCCCCTTTCTGGTGTCGTTTCTACATTAAAATGGCCCAATCACCAATCAGATTTGTAGTCAGCAGGTTCCATTCATACTCACACTACCATCTTTAACGTGTAACTCCTAGCAAATCCCCCTCCACAATAGTGTTAAAATTAGCAAAATGCTCATTTTTTCCTCTTTCCCAGGCCCAACACAGAGATACTTTCATTGAAGAACGCTATGGAAAATACAACATCAGTGATCCTTTAATGGCTCTACAGAGAGACTTCGAGACACTGAAGGAGAAGAATGATGGCGAAAAGCAGCCAGTCTGCACAAACCCACTCTCTGTCCTTAAGGTGGTGATGAAGCAGTGTAAGAGCATGCAGGAGCGTATGCTGTCCCAGCTGGCTGCCGCCGAGAGCAGGCACCGCAAAGTACGTTCACCCACCTGCCTCGTGCCCCATAAACTCTTGTGATAAATGATGCCTGATCCTGTCTTGTCAGCCGCCGGTTCCCACAGTAATTCAACTGGGAGGTCTCCCAGGTGTCAGAAGCCCCTCAGCCTACCCAGGAGCCAAGAGCTCAGAGAGAAAACACAAGTTACTCAACATGTTAATTTAGGGACTATGCCAGACACATTATTTAAGATGGCATTCCTTCCTGATAGGACCCTCCAAAACACTTGCTCTGTTTTTTCAGCTCTTGAACATCCAACCTTTGGCAACAAATTGGGGTTTGACCAAGCTTGTGGCTGAACAGAGCGTTCCCTATTTGCTTACTTAAGTGATAAATAGCAAGATTAACAGGTATTTGGGGAATGCTGTATGAGAGAGAGAGAGAATTTACCTGATTATAAACATACAAGCCAATGGATTGTTTTTATATATCTCTAGTTTTGTTGGTTTTTTTTTAAAGATTTTATTTATTTATTTGACAGAGAGAGACACAGCGAGAGAGGGAACACAAGCAGGGGGAGTGGGAGAGGGAGAAGCAGGCTTCCCACCGAGCAGGGAGCCCGATGCGGGGCTCGATCCCAGGACCCTGGGATCATGACCTGAGCCGAAGGTAGACACTTAACGACTGGGCCACCCAGGCGCCCCTATATATCTCTAGTTTTGAGATTCATTGCTTTTTACTTCTAAAACCGTAAACAGTCCCGAGGATTGTTTACCTTAAAGCTGTTCTGCCCTATTAGGAAAGTGTGTGTGTGTGTGTGTGTGCGTGTGTGTGTGTGCGTGCGCGCGCGCGCGCGCGCGCGCGGCTCCAAATCTTACAGCCCCTAGTTAGGCAAACCTGTGCTTTCCTCTACCTCATCTCATTGGAATTTTAGTGCTTGTGATTTTATTCCCCGACCTGATTTACCACTCAGATTTGGCCTGTAAAAGATGCTTGGCTAGAATCTACATTTTCTAAAACTATTGGTTTAGATTTATACCAGCAAGGGAGACATCAACACATTTAAGTAGGAAGCATTTTATTCTGAAAAATTGGGTCAGCAGCTGCAAATTGATGTACTTTAGTTTACTTTTATAATTACCTACGTTAGAGAGCCATCTGCTTAAAAATGCACCTGACAGATTGCTTAGGCATAGGTCTTGCCCATGATTTTTCTTTTCTTTTTTTTTTTTTTTTAAAGATTTTATTTATTTATTTGAGAGAGAGAGAATGAGAGACAAAGAGCATGAGAGGGAGGAGGGTTAGAGGGAGAAGCAGACTCCCCGCTGAGCAGGGAGCCTGATGCGGGACTCGATCCTGGGACTCCAGGATCGTGACCTGAGCCGAAGGCAGTCGCTTAACCAACTGAGCCACCCAGGCGCCCTTGCCCATGATTTTTCTTACTCTTCCCAGTGTCCAAATGAAAGGCCAGGGTGGAGATTTTTTTTTTTTTTTTTAAGATTTCACTTATTTATTTGACAGAGAGAGAGAGACAGTGAGAGAAGGAACATAAGCAGGGGGAGTGGGAGAGGGAGAAGCAGGCTTCCCGCAGAGCAGGAAGCCCGATGTGGGGCTCCATCCCAGGACCCTGGGATCATGACCTGAGCCAAAGGCAGATGCTTAAGGACTGAGCCACCCAGGCACCCCTGGGGTGGAGATTCTTAACCATGGAATTGGCCTCAGATGTTCCATGATCCCCCCCAAAAATATACAGAATGCCAAAAGTCCATACGTTTTTATAGAATGTTAATTTTTTCCCACATCTTTAATTGAATTCTCAGAGTTGTCCAAGACCCAGCAGAGTTTAACCTCTGGTCTAGAATGAACTAATCTAAAGACATTTATGCCCAGTTTAAAATGCGTTGGTGGTGGGCGCCTGGGTGGCTCAGATGGTTAAGCGTCTGCCTTCGGCTCAGGTCATGATCTCAGGGTCCTGGGATCGAGTCCCGTATCGGGCTTCCTGCTCCTTGGGAGCCTGCTTCTCCCTCTGCCTCTCTCTCTCTCTGTCTCTCATGAATAAATAAATAAAATCTCTTTAAAAAAAAAATAAAATGCGTTGGTGGGTCTGAGATAGTTGCCTAAATTTGGGGGCCTTTTACGTAATCCTCTAAGAAAGTCTTCACAGCGTGCTTGTTTGATAGGCCTTTTTCCCCCTTCCTCCATGAAGCAGCTGAGCTGCCCTGAAGGGTTGGCTGGCTGTGACGCCCATGAAAGGTGTAGTGATGGGATGATTTGTGGCTCTAGGTGATGAGGGAGAGGAAGAAGTTAAAAATAACTCAAAATTCTTTAATACTATATTTCAATGTAAGATTCTTTGAGTGTTAAATATTTTCAAACCAACTGCCTGTTTGTAAGTGTTTTATCAAAGTAAAACACTGACTTTATTACAAATCAAACAGTACCTAGAGGCTTATAATTAGGGTGCTTATTGTCCCTGTTTGCCCAAGAGAGTCCCAGTTGATGTCCCAGTTGAGTCGCCTCAGCATAGTCATTAAGAATACCCTCTTTGACTCTCAGAAGTGTTGTGGTTTGAACTGTAAATTACATGCTTACCCTGCTTATTATGTAACACAGAGTTCCCTAGTCCACCTCTCCCCATTCCCTCTTCTCCTCCATATTCAGAGACAACCACTTTCTCCTTTTGACCACTTCTTTTGGTAACTAAATTCCATATTTCTAAATGGTATACTATTCCCCCTGCTTATCAGTTCTTGACACTTATATTAATGCTTTCTCTCGTTATAGATATGGATTTATCTTACGCCCTGCTTCCCATTCCACCTTACCACCTTCCTAAAACAGACACATCCCCCTTTCCTCACCTTCATTCTCTGGTATTCCCAAATCCTGAGCCTGCCACATTCTGTTTCTTCTGAGGATAAACATCTGCCTTATGCCTGGGCAGTGGATGCCTAACATTCTATGTACAGGAATCAGGTTGAGGGGACAAATACCTTCTGGAAAATACAGATTTTGAGCCAGTGCCCTTGTTTCCCGCCCCACATCTCACCTCTCCTCTGCAGCACCGGCCGCCTCCAGGTTCCAGATCTCTCTGGGGCCGTGCAGGGCAAAACAGCTTCCTCCCCCATACCAAAGTAGCCACCACCCTCCTGCCTCCTGCCCTCTTCAAATGTTATTAACATTTCTTGTCTGCTACAATCTCTGTCTTTGAGGGTTTTTATCTTTTCATTCCATTTCTGTAATTTTAGAGGGCTTTCCAAAAGGGGAGGAGATGATGGACCACCATTAGCCAAAATTGTTTTTCTATTAAATTGAAAAGTTAGGGTTTGGGGGTTTTTTTTTGTTTTGGTTTTTGGTTTTCTTTAGGATTTTATTAAGTAATCTCTACACCCGACGTGGAGCTTGAACTCACAACCCCGAAATCAAGAGTCCCATGCTCTGATGACTGAGCCAGCCAGGCACCCCAAGTTAGGCTTTTTTTTTTTTTTTTTAAACCAAAAGGAAGAACACCAAGATGTTTTCATTTTTGTTAAATGAAAACATTTTGGGCATCATGTCCCAGAAACTCTTCTCTCTCCATTCAAGAAAACTATTAGTGAAGAGAAACACTGAGAGATGGGAGGACAGGGCTATGCCCTAGAGGTCTGGGCCAAGGCACCTGGGAAGCAGGAACAGAAGCTGCTAAGAAATCCCTGGCCTTTCAGAATCTTGTGCAGTTACAGGTGGGATTATGTGGGAAATGTCCCTTTAAATGTGTACAGTATTCACCTTCAAATTGGGCTTAATCCTTTGGTGCCAGGATAAGTGGAATGGGGTAGGCAGATTAATTAAAAGGCCTTCTGAAAAATCTCCACGAAGGATCCCAAGTGTTGAGGCTTTTTATGTGCAGGCTGAGCTCAAAAGTCTCTCCACCTCTCAGCTAACTATATACAAAATGCATGTTACTAACTAATGCAGGGCACAGTGATTTGAGCTTGAGGGGAGGATCTCAGCTTTCAGCTCTCCGTGGTCCTGTCTTGCTTCATCACCTGCCCCCATCCCCTAGTCTGAGCAAACTGCCTGCAGTTGCTGGATCTATTAATTCTTGGAAACCTTCTCAACCCCTAGAACTCTTTAGTTGCTCTCTTCTATTTGCTTGCCATTTTGTGCATCCTGAAATAAAGCATAGATCTTACTGTTTTCTAGTACATAGCTCACATATCTTTCACCCTACTAGATAAAGTGATCCTTGATGGCCCTGACTGGGATGGATGGATTGATCTCTGAAACTATGAGAGGTGCTAGTATTTAATTGTGTTGTATTATAAGTGTGTTTTCTTGATATTTGGAATTTTTGTTTCTTTAATTCTTTTAAAGGTGATCCTAGACCTTGAGGAAGAAAGGCAGAGGCATGCGCAGGACACAGCTGAAGGAGATGATGTCACCTACATGCTGGAGAAAGAGAGAGAGCGGCTGACTCAGCAGGTGGTGACGGTGGAGGGGGTCATAGCACCATGCAGCTAGAATAGCATTTCTCAAAGATAGCCCTGCAGGGTGTAAATTAGTGTTGCTCCGAAACAAAGGGCCTTGTGGTCAAATAAATCTGGGAAATACTGGCCACAAAGTTAAATAGATTTCTAATTTTTTAGACCCTTGAGTACAGAAAAAGAACAAGATGGTTTCTAAGTTTAGCAAATCTACGTCTTCATAGAATCTTTTTTTTTTTTTAAGATTTTTTATTTATTTATTTGAGAGAGACAGGGATAGCGAGAGAGAGCAGGAGCAGGGAGAGGAGGGAGAAGCAGGCTCGCCACCAAGCAGGGAGCCCAACACGGGGCTCGATCCCAGGACCGTGGGATCATGACCTGACCCAAAGGCAGACGCCCAACAGACTGAGCCACCCAGGTACCCCACATAGAATCTTTTTTTGACAGAGCTCACTCACTGTGGGACTGTCATCCCGTAGAACATACTTTGGGAACACTAGCTTCGAACTCTCAAGCGTTTTGACTTGGGAATCCAGTAACAAATACATTTGACATCACAACCCAGTGTATAGACATACATAAACACATGCCTGAAACAAAAATCTCATGAAATTATATATAACCCTTACTGCTTACAATAGCCATTCATTTTTTTAAACTTTAATCGTGGCTCATGAGATTGGTTTCCTCATCCGTTAATGAGTTTGAAAAACATTGACTAATAGGGTTCCATCAACCCTTTCCCTCTTGCTCAAGAGTTTCTGTGCCTTAAATAGGGTGGAAATAATAATTAAAATAGACTGCATTTGTGTAAAAAGCAGTTTATTTATGTATTTATTTTTAATTTAAATTCAATTAATTAACATATAATATTAGTTTCAGAGGTAGAGGTCAGTGATTCATCAGTCTTCTATAACACCCAGCGCTCATTACATCACGTGCCTCCCCACCCCCGGCAACCCTCAGTCTGTTTCCTATGGTTAAGAGTCTCTTATGGTTTGTCTCCCTCTCCGGTGTCGTCTTGTTTTATTTTTTTCCTCAAAAGTACAGTTTTTTGGTTTTTTTTTTTATTCTTATGTTAATCCCCATACATTACATCATTAGTTTTAGATGTAGTGTTCCATGATTCATTGTTTGTGCATAACACCCAGTGCTCCATGCAGAATGTGCCCTCCTCAATACCCATCACCAGGCCAACCCATCCTCCCACCCCCCTCCCCTCTAGAACCCTCAGTTTTTCAGAGTCAAAAGTACAGTTTAAATGCAACTATTTGTTTGTTTTTAAGACCAGAAAGAATGATTACTGAAACTTCAAAAGTTTTGTCTTCTTAAGAGTACACTTAGGATGATGAGCCCTGTCTTGTACCCCTGAAACTGACAGAACACTACGTTAACTATACTGGAGTTAAGGTGAATAAATGAATAGTTTTGTTTTCATCCGCATTCATCACGAAACCCGCTGTGCGCGGCTTTCTGTTATCAGTCCTGAGCGGTTCTGATCTTCTGACCCCTCTGCAGACCTGCAACACGGATTCCCGCCGCCAACAACGTAAGGACTAGAAGTGCCTCCGAAATCAGCAGAGAAAGTTAAACCCTAGTGCGCACGTTCGGGCGGTAGGGGCTCCGATGCTGTGGAGATACGGGAGCTAAGCTCGCGGCGTGCGGGGCAGCCGTGCGCCAGACCAGAGCTCGCCGGGGTGTTTTGCAACCGCTCTCTTTGTGGTCTCATCCTAATCAGGCTGTCCGGTGGCATTCTCTTCTAGCTGGAATTTGAGAAGTCCCAGGTGAAAAAGTTCGAGAAAGAGCAGAAGAAGCTGTCCAGTCAGCTGGAGGAGGAGCGCTGCCGTCACAAGCAGCTGTCGTCCCTGCTGGCGCTCGAGTGCAGGAAAGCCACGGGCAAGGCGGCCGAGGAGGGGCAGAAGGCCGGCGAGCTGAGCCTGAAGCTGGAGAAGGAGAAGAGCCGCGCGAGTAAGCTCGAGGAGGAACTGGCGGCCGAGAGGAGGCGGGGCTTGCAGACCGAGGCGCAGGTGGAGAAGCAGCTGTCCGAGTTCGACATCGAGCGAGAGCAACTGAGGGCCAAACTGAACCGAGAAGAGAACCGGACCAAAACCCTGAAGGAAGAGATGGAAAGCCTGAAGAAGATAGTGAAGGCTCTGGAGGCGTCTCACCTGCACAGTGGCCCTCCTGAGCAAGCGAGGAGGCCGGTGACCGTGTCGAAAGGCACGGTGACTGAGCCTCCCGCGCTGGTGTCTGTGTTCTGCCAAACGGAGAGAAGCCAGGGGAGCAGCGCAGCCAAGGGGAGCGCCGCCGGGCCGCCTGGTCCCGCCACTCCTGCTTACTCGTTCGCAAAAACCAACGGCCATTTGGAGCCAGAGGTACAGACTGCCAAGGACCTGGTGGTGGGCAGCAGCGGCGAAAACCAAGTGCCTCCACGAGAGAGGCCTGTGGGGTCGGCCCAAGAGAAAGCGGTGGAGAACGGCGGGTGTCCTGTGGGAATGGAGACTCCCGGCCCGGCACCTGCTCACCTCCCGTCCAGTGGGGGCTCCCTGTCTCCCAGCAGCACGGCCTCCTCCTCCCTCACATCCTCTCCGTGCTCCTCCCCAGTGCTGACTAAGCGCCTGCTGGGGTCCTCAGCCAGCAGCCCCGGCTACCAGTCATCCTACCAAGTGGGGATCAACCAGCGGTTCCAGGCGGCTCGGCACAAATTTCAGTCCCAAGCGGATCAGGACCAGCAGGCCAGTGGTGTGCAGAGCCCCCCCTCCAGGGACCTGTCGCCCACCCTCATAGACAACTCTGCCGCCAAGCAGCTGGCCCGCAACACCGTCACTCAGGTGCTCTCCAGATTCACTAGCCAGCAAGGGCCAATCAAGCCTGTCTCCCCCAACAGCTCTCCCTTTGGCACAGACTATCGGAATCTGGCCAACACTGGCAGCCCAAGAGGCGATGCCAGCCATTCCCCCACTCCAGGGAAAGTGTCCAGTCCGCTGAGCCCTCTGTCTCCAGGGATCAAGTCCCCCACCATCCCCAGGGCTGAGAGAGGAAACCCTCCACCCATCCCACCCAAAAAGCCTGGCCTCACCCCTTCTCCATCCACCACCACTCCACTGACCAAAACTCATTCCCAGGCCTCCTCTTTGGCCACCATGGAAGACCTAGCCGTCAGCTGCTCTTCCACGGCTGTCGTGGCTAACGGCAAGGACGTGGAGATACTCCTGCCTACCAGCAGCTAGTCCCTCGCGGGAGTCTCCACGGCTGACATTCCACCAGATTTCGTCCAAGAGCTCGGAGTCCAACCGTTGAGTCAGATCATGTTATTTATTTTGACAGTAGCTGAAACCATCTGTAGAGTCCATTTAGTGTATTTCGCCTTTTTGTATTTTTTTTAAGTAGAAACTGAGTCGTTTGGATTTTTATGCCTCACACCTTTGTACTGAAGCTGGAAGGGCACCTCAAAGACATCTCAAGCTCAGCAGTCACCATCTCGTTGTGATGGAGAAAGCTAATTGAGGACCAGGTGGTGATTTGCTGTCTGTTTTGGGACTGGAATCGCTCAACACTCATTGTGAATTATGCAGAAGTGGTTCGTGCAGATTTTTATTCCAGATGAACATGTCTCAAAAGTGCCTGAAATAAGACTGCCATGCGAATGTGATTCTGCAGCGAAAACACAAAATGGATCATCTAATTGCAGAAAATGAGATCCTCTGTGAATCCTGAATGTTAAAAAAACAACACTGCTTTTAAACCTCTTTTACCGTTTTTAATATAAGCTTTGGGTTCAGAAACAAGGCTGCGTCAGAAGGGGAATCCAAAGGTGGGTGTGACCTCACCACTGAGCTGAGCTCTATAGAGCCCTTGAGAAGCCCTCCCGGGCAGGAGGCAGTGGGGGGTGCTGATTTCCTCGTACTTCTGAAAAATTAAGTCACTCCCAGTTTCCCACAGCAGTCCTTGAATAGAATGAAATCACATCTCCATTCAAAAAATATCTTCAGGCGTCTACTGTTGTGTAAGGAACTTCTGATTCCAATTGCTATTACTTGAATAGGAAATGGTTACTCGTTCTGTATAAAAAGTTTTGCAACAGGATGAGATCTTTATTATGTAATCAAAAAGCAATAACTTAAGTTCATTGTCTCTGTAATATTATAAGTCAGAATTATATAGGTTTTACCAAATTGTTACACTTACTCTCGGAGCTGCCAGCACTTGGTGTATCTGTGCAACCAAATTAACTTTTCCCTAAATGGAAGTATACATAGATCTGTATAGATACACAGCCCTTTGCGTGTCTGACACACACACACTTAAACACATAAATATTAGTGTGACTGTATCTTTGGAGTTTGCAATAGAGCGTAAAGGGTGAGTAGAAATGCACATTAAGATTACCTAACAGAGCAACTCAGTGTGGCTGGGACCCAGTCGGTCAAAGGAGGAATCTTGTCCATGGGGGTGGGGGGTGGAAATTCCAGATGAAGTCAGGTCATCAGCGTCCTAAAATGCCAGGGCCAAAAACCGCAGTGTCACAGAACTCAACTGGCCATCTAAATGACTGAAACAGGTCACTCAATCAAGTGCTGTAAGTCAGCTGGGATGGGGGAAGGCCTAGCAAACTGAAGTGCCTGAGCCCCCTCTGGTAGGCAAGGGCCCCTGCTGTTCAGCCCCAGCTGCTTGTTGCCATGCAGTAGTGCTAGACCAGGTGACCAGCTCCTCAAATTTTTGTGAAATCCAAATTTTCATAGAAACATTCTCACTTTTAAATATCAAAACAGACTCAAAAACAATTTGAAACTGCTGGTTAAACACTTCTGCAGCTGGGTCTAGCTCACAAGCTGCCAAGTTGCAACGTCTTTCATTCTAGAAACTTCTGTCATTTCCATCATTGTGAGTTTGTGAGGCCAGACACCTCCCCTCTTTCCAACGTGTAGGCTAGTACAGCTGACAGAGGCCATAGGATATAAGGACGGTCCCCATCTTCCAAACAAGACTCTGCAACCCAGCTCAGACAAGGTAGTTCTAGGACTTTGTGTCCTCTCAATACATTCTCCCTAGCCAACACCTACCCAGCAGCCCTGTCCTCCTGCTGTAATTTAAATCTGTTTTCTCTTAATCCAGTATGAATTGATGGGGGACGGGCTGGTGATGGAGATCAATGTATAAATCACAATTGGTGTCTCCAGGGCTTAGGGTTTGATTAAGGCCAATACATCAAAAATTAAAATACTCCTCATGCCCCAGGATGTCTACCAAATGGTGAACGGGGTATCTTATAAACTGCCCGAAGCAATCATGCATTAAACTTCATTCCCACGCACGGCCAAATGAAGTGATAAAATAGCTGACCTTCCTAAACAGGAGAGGGGCTACGGTCCCAGAGTGTTATTACCTCTCTTGCTTTAAATGGTAATCTTAAAATTTGCATTGTACTCTTCTCTTTGTTTCGGCATAGATATATATATAGAGAGAGAGAGAGAGATACTATAAGGATGTTTATTTCTTAGGAAGTGCACTGAATAATGTATTTCTTTTACAGTGTAACATGGGGGTGGGGAGATGCAAAAGAAATGTGTATTTTTGCTAGTTGCCTATCTTCTAAGATAAATAAGCACAATACTGCAATGGATCCAATAATCCAGCTAGGTATTATAGATTGGTATTTAAGTTTGCTGTAGATCGTGTGTGTGTGCTAAGTAAAAGTTCCATGATTCACAATTTTGGTACTAACCCATGTTGTGGATGCTAGATGGCTAGTCACCAGGTGCCGATGGATGCGCAGCGCATACCACAAGCATTAACTAGTCATTCTCATTTGTAAAGCCCAGTGTGCCATGCAGAAGTCTTCATCCATTTTTATAGCAGACTACATTAAAACAAGTTAAATCATACTGTCTGGGGAAAATCTAATCTTGTTTGTACAAAGTGAAGGCTGTTGCACAACCGGGCCTGTTTTGTCTGGGAAGGAGCAGGTGTCGAGGGAGTACGCACGCCCGTGGCTTTCGAAAACCAAGTGAAGTCAGTGACCTGTCCAGGTTAGACTCCAAAAGGAGCTGGGCTGTTGGTTCTTGAGAACCTTAGAGCTGGAGGAAGCCTTTGCGGTGATCCAGTCCTGGAGGGGTTTAAAGGGGTTCTGGGCCTTTTGAGAATCTAAGAAACGCTAGACTCCATCCCCAGAAAAATGGATATACTAACAGGCAGAATGTGGTTGATGGCTTCCCAGGATCCAAAGACCCTGAAGCCATCCATGATTCATGTACTCGAGCTGAAGAGTGCCTGATCTTGTCCTGCCCTTGCATTCTACAAGTGACTAATGTATCCCTTGTCTCCTAGTCCGGTGGTGAGGTGTGGCACTGTGAGCCAGCGCAAGCTATAGGCAGACAGAAGCACCTGAGAACGCCTTTGATGTGCAAAAGATGTGGAGCCCGTGGGGATGTTTACATATGTCAAGTTTCCACCATTTAAGCCAGTTAATGATCATTTCAGCAAACACCGGGTATATCTGTTTTCCATAACAGCCTCACTGTCAGCAATGCTGCCTTGTCTTCACAGTGCGGGTCCCTCATGCCTGACGTGGGGTCTCCCCCTCTCCCCTCTCTGTGCCCAGAGCGCCCCTCCCTCCCACGGACAGTCCTGCAGGTCTCTTTGGCTCCAGACCACGTCTCCGCCCTTCCTACCCTCTTGGATGTGGCCTCTTCTCTTCATTTAGTTGTGGAGATTGCTCTACCAGTCTTTGGGTCATTTTCTGGGTTATTTATACTGATGTGGGTGTTATCTAGGTGTATCTGTGGGACAGGTGAGCCTAGGATCCTCCTGCTCCACCATCTTCCCCGGAAGGAGCCTTGTCAATTAATTTATATATATATATATAATTAATTTGTAAAGTGCTCTTCTGATGCTTGGTCCTTCAAACAACTTCAAATGTCTTGAAACGCTGGCTTTAAAACTGTATCTGTTCTCATGATCATGAGTCCAAAGTAGGCAATGAGCACTGTTCCATGGGAGTTATTTGTAAAACCAGATGAGAAAACTTGAGAGCACCCATCTGCTAGTGTTATCAATGGCCAATTCATTGGTAAAAGCAGAGGAGGAGAAAGGAGACTGGGGTAGTGGTTCTCAAACTTTACTGTAACCTGAGAAGCCTTCCAAAATAAGGACTCCTGAGAATTGGGCCTAGGGGCCGGCTGATGCATGTGGCCTGAGGCTCCCATTTTGAGAAACAGCGCCTCACAGCCCTTACCTGTTCTTTCACAAGAACTTGCTCTTTGCCTCTGACCTGCGGAGATGTCTTAAACTCTTGAATCTGGTTTGCCGGAACCTCAATGATATTCAGAGCCAAGAGTGCTTACTTGGGTCCAAGCACCATATTATGTCCCCTGTGCAGATGAGATCGCTGAGGGCCAGAGGCTCGCACAAGGGCCCTTGGTAAGTGCCAGCCTGGATTGAAGTCCCCAGGGCTTCCCACTTTCCACTACTTGTGTTTCCTGGGTTCTGAGGTGCCTGTTGGCCGTGCCCAGGCCCCAGCCTTAGGGAGTCTGATTCCGTAGCCCAAGTGAGGCTCTAGGTGAGTACCTGGGCTGATTCTTAGGATGGACCCGGTGTGAACCCTACAGGACACCACTTTGCTCCTTCCACTCGCCCTAACAACCCCCCCCCCCCCAGGAGTGGATTCTCAGATCTAACCAATGCCAGGAGACCTTTATCAGGTCAGATAAGTTGAACAAAAACAGGGGCGCCTGGGTGGCTCAGTCCATTGAGCCTCCAACTCTTGATTTCAGCTTGGGTCAAGATCTCAGGATCTTGAGATCAAGCTTCATGTAGGGTTCCGAGCTGGGCGTGGAACCTGCTTGAGATTCTTCCTCCTCTCCCTCTGTCTCTCCCTATGGTAGCACACAGAGCTCTTGGTGGGCAGGAAAAAGTTACTAGAAAAGGAGCAAATGTCTTTTCTCCTCTTTCCAAAGCATTCTTTACCTGGGGTTCTGCAGTATCTCCCTGTGTTTGCATTATGTCTCAATTGGCTTGTCCTAGTCTTCGGATGTGGTCAGAGACAGAGGCACTAGGAGTCCCCAAGAATGCAGTGCTGTTTCATGTGGTGTGCGTTCTGCAAGGGCTTGGGGCTGGTGGAAGGAGCTCCCAGGGGCACAGCACTCTGCAAAACATTCCCCCAGTAACTTGTAGGGAAGACCTAGGAAAAGGCAAAGAGAGAAAGGACCGTCTTGCAAAAATACTGCATTCCCCATAAGGGTTCCCTCCTACCTTCAAAACCTCCATCAGCAGAAGAGAAAAATGAACATCAAGCTTTGGAAAGTGTCGAACGAGTCTGACTTCTGGGACACCTGCGAGTGACTTACTGCCTTGGAGGGATATAAAAGCAGCTTTGCCATTAGAGTGGGGGGCACAGGGGGTATCGTGTAGTTCTCCATGCCACTGTGAAGTGGTTGCCTCCGCGAAATTACTAGGAAGTGTTGCAACAAGATCGGCCTTATCCCTGGGGAGTCAGTCACCTACTTAATTCGACAAGAGTCCAACAGACTAACCACACGGTAGACACTCAGATTCCATCAGAAATGGATTTAGGGGCGCCTGGGGGGCTCAGTTTGGCATCTGCCTTTGGCTCAGGTCATGATCTCAGGGTCCTGGGATCGAGCCCCGCGTTGTGGGGGGGGGCTCCCTACTCAGTGGTGAGTCTGCTCCCTCTGCACCTCCCTCCACTCATGCTCTCTTTCTCACAAATAAATAAAATCTTAAGAAAAAAAAAGAAACGAAGGATTTATTTCCCTAGCTGCCGGAAATGCTGACAGTAAACAGCTCTCAGCTATAGGCCCCTTCTAGGAATTGCCTGAACTGAAATTAACTTGACCAAGGTCACCTCTCCTTCAAGGGGCAGCTCATGTCCAAAGACTGATTGGCGTGCCGTATAAAGACCTGGCCCCAGGGCACCTGGGTGGCTCAGTCCGCTAGGCGGCTGCCTTCAGCTCAGGTCATGATGTCAGGGTCCTGGGATCGAGCCCTGCATCCTGCTCTCTGCTCAGCGGGAAGCCTGCTTCTCCCTCTCCCTCTGTTCCTCACCCCCCACCCCCTGCTCCTGCGCTCTCTCTCTCTCTCTCTCTCTCAGATAAGTAAAATTAAAAAAAAAAACAACAGAAACAAAAAGACAAAAACCTGGCCTCCTGTCCCAAATCAAGGGAACACTGAAGGGTCATTCCCTGCTTCAAAACCCCTGTAGGGTTGGCTGAGCCGTCTACTGAGAGACTCCCACAGCTCAGCCTTCCCTCCCTTTTTCCTCCCCTCTGTCCGTTCTGGTGGAAGCAAGGGTACACCCCTGGTAAGCCTCCCCCTTCCCAATCTCCGTCTCACACTCTCTTGTGTTCCTTCGGGCCATGATTAAGGCCTCTCAAGGAGGGCAGGCACATTTTCGGAGTATTTATGTGGTGCCCTTCCGTGTTACTTCCTTTAAACAACACAGCTACTGGGGGAGCAGTGATTCTTTCTCGCCCCCTGAGGTAAATCAGGGCCGCCTGAGGCCCACAGCAGAGCAGGGCTGAGAGCTGGTGACACGGCTCGGATTCAGACCGGCCCCTGTTCGGCCCTCAAGTCCACTCCCCTTCCCCTGGCCACACGACAGTCAAAACGGTAATAATACATTTGGGGAGTTAGGAGTAGTCGCTTACTGTCAGTCATGCACCTAAGTACGAAGCCCCTGGGATTACTGGAGTAAGCCTGGAGCCTCTCAGCAGGAACAGGACCCCGAAGGCATGAGGGTTTTGGTGAAGAAGAAGGAGAAAGACGACTTGCCGACCCACCTGGAGTCCTCAAATGTCAGAGCTAGCAGAAAGCTCAGACACCGGACATGGCCCCTTCCCACCCTGGGTTCTAGCTCTGACCTGTTACAGGTTAGGAGAACGAGGCCCAAGCTGACAGGCCTCGTGAATGGCAGAGCCCAGGCTGTGTCCTCAGCCCGCACGGACCGCTCCTCCCAGCGCTGACCTGGAACCAAGAAGTCCTCCTCTCACGGGCCTCTCTACAACGGCCAGGCTTTGGTCTCGTTCACCTGGGCTGCCCCGCATTCCCGGCCGCATCCTCTGCCCACCGGCCTCAGGCTGCCCGCCGTGCTTGTTGCCACAAAAATCCCGTCCTCAGGTCCCTGGACCGGTTTGACAGCTGAGGTGAGGCGGGGCGTGGGGAACCGGGAGAGCTTCTGTCCCCGGGCTGTGCTGCCATCTGTCCAGCATCAGCTCCGGGAAGCTCTTACTCACGAGGCCTGCCTTGCTCCTCGGGTGTGGACAAGAAGCCGCGGAAGCCACCAGCATCTCTGTGCCCCGCGCCTGCGAGTCTGACCTGCCCGTGGAGGTGGGGGCGGCTGAATGCTTGGAGACAGAGACCCTCCGCCTCCGGGCCGCCTTCCCCACCTGAACTCCGAACACAGAGCTCTCCCAGGAGGGGCCTTTGGCATTCCCAAAAGACTTGCCCATCGCCCTTCTGTGCGGTACCCACTCTCCCGCTCCCCCGGGGCACCCAGCCCAAAGCAGAGCCTTCCAGAACGCATGGGGCCTCAGAGCAGGCAGGGTGTCCTCAGGGTGGTAGGGTGGTTTAGAGCGGCGACCACAGCACACAGGCCCCTTCTTCAGCCCCAGCGTGTTTTCCTTCCCCTGTGTCTTGGTGAGTCAGCACCATGGGGCCACACACAAGGCTCCTATTCAGGGCTCATTCTCCTTCTGCTCTCGCTCAGATCTTGGCATCTCCCTCCCTCCCTCCCTCCCTCTCTTTCTCTATGTGGGCCTTATTCGCCATGGGAAAGCTATGCGCCCTGCCCTGTGCCTTCCCCTTTCCCCAGTACCACGGCGCATTGCCCCCCTCCCCCGGCCACATGCGCCCACATTCCTCATCCTCGCCTTCTGGGTGTTCGCAGGCCCAGCTGGACACAAATGTAAAGGCGGCAGAACAAAACAGAAACGTCAAACTGTTAAATCCTCCATCGCATATTTTCAACCGTGGTTTGCTGCTGCTGGCTCTGTGCAGGCCCTGAGCTATGTTAATCTCACACACACACACACACACACACACACACACGCTGGGCGTGTGGGCCCTCTAGTCACCATGTGTTTATTAAGAACCGACTCCGCGTCAAGCCTCATGCTAACGGCTGGAATCTACACTCTGTCGGGAGAACAAGTCTCGCACATGTGACATCTCGGGCCAGCGCTGGGATGGACGCAGCAGGTGCCCCCAGTGGGCGACGGGGCCCGACGTGCCTAAGAAGTTCAGCAGAGCCGGGAAATCTCCGGGTCGAAGGCACCGACTTTAAATACACCGAAGGGCGCAGGATGCGGGTTTGTGATGACAGGGGCGTGTGTACGCGGTACGTAGCACGGAGAACACGGGGATGCAAAAGCTAGTGCAGAACAAGGGCTCGGTCGTGGCCTGTGTAGCCGTGGGCAACGCGCTGAAAATGAAGCTCCGCCGGCCTCCCGCTGACGGTTTTGCGAGAATCCGGTGCAATGACGCGGGCAAGCGCCCGGCCCCCGGTGAGCACCCGGCGGAGGCCTCGCCGCCTTGGCGGGGAGCGGCGGCGGGTGAAAGGGCGCCCCCCCCGCCCCCGCCGGCGCGTCTGGCCGGGAAGCTGGGTGGCTCCCCCGCGGGGCGGCTCCCGGCCGCCGGCAGCCCCGCCCGCGGTCGGAAAGCTGAGCCGCTGGCGCCCCCTGGCGTTTGAGTCGCTGTGCTTCTCCGGGTAAGGACGGGGTCTTGCGGTGCGTCCCTCCGGGGGGCCCGCGCTCAGCCGCCTCCCCGATGGGGAAGGCCTCAGCCCCCGGCCGCAGTCCCCGCGTGCGGCACGGGTGGAAGCCCGAACTAGCGAGAGGGGAGAGAATAACGGCAGCCGCCTCGCCCGACGGTTGGGAGCCTTAACTGAGCCGATCCAAGACCGCAGACTCGGCAGGGCACGCGTACGCCCTGGGCAAGCGATAGCTGGTAGCGTCTGTAGCTCCGAGAACACTGACCCGTGATACTGTAAGAACAGGAGGAAGCCGTGGCAGCACAGTGAACTCCCGGGGGAGTCAGCGATGGTCACACCCAGGCAGTGACACGTGTCCCGGTCGTCAAGGAGGGGGAGATGCTCTCAAGCGAAGAAGGGGATGAAGGACATTCCAAGGAAGGAGAAGAACGTTTGCAACGCACTGAGTTGCCCGTGGGCATGGTGAGAAGCCTGGGGTGGGCGTGTGGATCTGCAGAAGAAAATAGGAAGAGGAAAGGGGAGGGTCTGCCCAGGGAAAGAATTTGGACTCTATCTGGTGAACCGCTGGGAGCCTGAACTGAGGCATCATGAGCAGAAACAGTTACACATGAAGCTAATGAAGTTTAAGCTTCAAGGACCGTCACTGATATGGCCCCTTCCCAACCCTGAAGAGCCCATGGAATGTGTCCACGTGGTCAAATGTTTTTATAAAATTTGCAAAAGTAAGATAACTGCAATCAGTTAAGACTGCTGTCTCTCTGGGCGTCTGGGTGGCTGAGTCGGTTAAGCGTCTGCCTTCGGCTCAGATCATGATCCCAGGGTCCTGGGATGGAGCCCAGCATCGGGCTCCCTGCTCAGCTATGAGTCTGTTTCTCCCTCTCCTTCTCCCCACCTCCCCCACCACTTGTGCTCTCTCTCTGTCAAATAAAATCTTAAAAAAAAAAAAAAAGACTGCTGTCTCTCTTTATTCTGACTTCTCCTACATCGTATTTTCCCCCATGTTGGGTGACCTTGGAATGGTGGCCACAAGCATTTTTGGAATTCATCTAAAGGGGACTATTTTTAAGTGAAATACATTTATGTGGTTTGTAGTCACTTCCATGTAGAGCTGAGTTTTTGCTAGCCATCCCGGTGTAGGAATGGCTTCCAGGAATGCTCCCATCATCCTCATGCTGCCTCACTTGGCATGATGTGAAGCACTAGTGCCGAAGGTTGTATTGCTGTTGATATATCCTAGAGCACCTGGCACTAGAAGGAAAGTAAGAAGTGGAGGGGAAAGAAGGTTTTAAATGAATGGAGTCAGAAGCTGGTCTCTAGAAAATTCATCCAGTCATTGGATGTGTCAAATCATAATGGGCAATTAATTTCTCATCAATGTCTAATCAAAACAAAATTTCTCTCTTGTCAGGAAAATATTTAATAATGCAATGCACGCAATTATAAAGGCACCATAAATATGAAGATATAATCAAAGAGTATGGAGTCAAATTTAATTTTAAAGAGTTCTGCTTCTGACCAAGATGGAAAAACAGGGAGTGGCTTTATGCTCCCACCTAAAACACCTAAACACTGAGTAAAATATATTAAACAACAATTTTCAAGACATTGGACTTTAGGCAAAAAAGGACTGAAATGGGAAACCAACAAAGTGGGTCCTATGATGGTCCCAGCAGCGAGGGGTAATCGAGGAATGGCCTGGCAATCTCCCTAAGTTGAGATAATGCCGGGAGTCGGGAGGGAGGAGTATCGGAGACAGGAGAGATGCAATGAGAGACATCTCCAGAGATCTTCAGAGGCCCCCTACTAGAATCTTCAACTGAATACTAATCGACATATGCATGTAAGGAAACCACCCAAAAGGATTAGATGGAACAATACTCAGACCTCATGTGGGACTAGTAGTTTCTGTTCTCAGCAGCCAGAATAACAAATCTCATAATTCGCAGAATATTGGATAGAGTGCCCAAAAGGTTTTTGTCTCTATGGTGGGCCAAAATTAACCCTAGAGTAGGTGCTACTCTGCTGCTCCCACCTAAGAAAAAAAGTTTAAAAGCAAGCCTCAAGTGCTTGATTCAGCAGCACTTACACTAAAAAGTGTAACTAAAAGTTAAAAATCGCAATGTCTAGCATTCAGTAAAAAATTGCTAGGCATGCAAAGAAGCAGAAAAATATGGCCCGTAATTAGGAGACAGATCAATCAATTGAAAATTAGCCAAAAATGACACATTATTAGACAATTATATTAAAACAGCTATGTTAACTGCATTCCATATGCTGAAGGAGATAAAAGAAAGATGGAGTTTGTTAACAATATGAAAGACATGGAAAAGATCCAAATCAAACTTCTAGAGATGAAAACCACACTACCTGAGATGAAAAAAAAAAAAAAAATTGGACGGTATTTTTTTTTTTTAAGATTTTATTTATTTATTTGACAGAGAGATACAGCCAGAGAGGAAACACAAGCAGGGGGAGTGGGAGAGGGAGAAGAAGGGTTCCTGCTGAGGTGGGAACCCAATGTGGGGCTAGATCCCAGGAGCCAAAGGCAGACACTTAACGACTGAGCCACCCAGGTGCCCCAAATTGGATGGTATTAACAGCAGATTATACATTGTAAAAGAAATGATCATTAAACTTGAAAAAATAGCAATAAAAACCATCCACAGTGAAACATAGAACATTTAAAAAAAAGATTTTTAACAATGAACAGAATACCAATGAGCTTTAAGACAAATTCAAGCGACCTAATATAAGTTTTATTGGAGCCCCTGAAGGAAAATATTTGAACAGCTAATAGCCAAATTTTTCCAAATTTGATGAAAATTATAAGCCCACAGACAGAAAAATGTAAATGTGCCCTCAGCACAAGAAACCTAAAGGAAAACACACCAAGGATCATCATAATCAAACTTTTTAAAACTAGCGATAAAAAGAAAACCTTCAAAACAACTGGAGAAAAAAAGCCCATATTATATATAGATGAACTCGACTAAAAATAACGGCAGACTTCTCAAGCGTAACAATATAATCCTAAAGAGAGTGGGGCAATAGCTGTAGAGTGCTGAGGAAAAAAACTGTCAACCTAGAATTCTACTCCTAGTGACAATACCTTCCAAAAGTGAAGGCAAAATACTTTTCTTAGACATGCCCAAGGCAAAAGAGTTCATCACTGTCAGACTTGTGGTACAAGAAATGTTAAAGAGAATACTTCAGGCAAAAGGAAAATGATACTAAAAATCTGTATCTACACAAAGGGATGAAAAACACTAAAAATGGTACCTATGTGGGTAAATATAAAAGATAATTTTTCTTATTCTTTAAATCTCTTCAAAAATTCATTGTCGGTAGAAGGGGGGGGGCTTGGGTGGCTCAGTCAGTTAGGCTTCTGCCTTCAGCTCAGATCATGATCCCAGGGTCCTGGGATCGAGCCCCACATCGGGCTCCCTGCTCAGCGGGGAGCCTGCTTCTCCCTCTCTCTCTGCCGCTCCCCCTGCTTCTTCTCTCTCTCTCTCAAATAAATAAATACCTTTTTCAAAAATAAAAAATAAAAATTCATTGTGGGATTTACAACATAGAAGTAAAATGTATGACAACAAGTGCACAAAAACAGGGAGAGGAGAAATGAAAGTATACTTCTGTAAGATTATTATTATACTATACATGACTCAACATATCACGTGACACTAGAGCACATGAAGCTAGATCACATGAAGTTAAATATGTATGCTGTAGGCCTTAAAGCAATCACCAAAAACCACAACAAAGTTCATAAGAGAACAAAAGAGATAAAAAGTCATAAAACATACTCAACTCAAAACGAGGAAAAAGAGGAGCAAAGAACAGTTGATAGAAAAATAGCAATGTTGACTTAAAACCAGCCATCTCAATAATCACTTAAAATGAAATGGTCTAAACAACCCAACAAAAGGCAGAGATCATCAGTTCGTATTAAAAAGCAAGACCTGCCTACAAAAAATCCACTTTCAATATAAGGATACAAATAGGGTAAATTGTTTTAGAATACTTCAACCAAATGCAGTAGAATACATAATAGTTTTGAGTACCCACAGAATATTTACCTGATAGATCATTAACGTGTCTGGATAAAATTAAGAGGATTTAAATCATACAAAGCAGGTTCTCTGACTACAATGGGATGAAATTAGAAATCAACAACAGAAAAGTATCTGGAGAATCCCCAAATATTTGAAAAACAACACACTCCTAAATAGCCCATGGGTCAATGAAGAAATTAAAAAAAAAATTAAAAAATATTTTAATACAAAAGAAAATGAAAAGGCAACATATTGATATTTGTGGGACACAGATAAGGCAGCACTTAGAGGGAAAATTATAACACTAATGTCTATATTTTAAAAGGAAGAAAGGATTCAGTCAATTAAGAAAACAGGGGTGCCTGGGTGGTTCAGTTGGTTAAGCTTCCAACTCTTGATTGCAGCTCAGGTAATGACCTCAGGGTGCTGGGATCAAGCCTGTGGCAGGCTCCATCTCATCAGGGAGTCTGCTTGAGGATTTCTCTCCCCTTGCCCCTCCCCCAACTCACGTGCTCACGCGCACGCGCGCGCGCACACACACACACACACACACTCTCTCTCTCTCTCTCTCTCTAAAATAAATTCTTCTAAAAATAAAAAACAGAAAAAGTAAGCACAAGAAAGGAAAGTATAAAAATCACAGCAGAAATCGGTAAAATGGAAAACAAAAACGACAGAAAAATCAATGAAACCCAATGCTGGCTCTTTAAGATCAATAAAATTGCAAACCTAGAGCCCAAATGATCAGAAATAAAAGAGAAAACATTCAGGTGGCAAATATAAGGAAGGAGAGGTGCCATCACTACAGAATGCACAGATGTTAAAAGGATAATAAGGGAATATTATGAGCAATTTTATGTCAATAAATTCAATAACTTGTATGAAATGGACAAATTACTTGAAATGCACAAATTAGCAAAACTCCCTCAAGAAGAAATAGGTAATGTGAACAGCCCTGCACAAATCAAAGAAATCGGCTTCTTAGTTTAAAACTTTCCCACCAAGGAAAACTCTAAGCTCACATGGTTTTATTGGTGAATCTTACAAACATTTAAAGAAAAAAAAAAAAAGAATTCTACAAAAACTCTTCCAGACTATTGAAGAGGTTGAAACACTCCCCAGCTAATTCTATAAGACCAAGCAGTAATATGACAAAAGAAAGCTGCAAACCAACAGCCCAACATGCAAAAACCTTTAAAAATTTTTAAGAAACCAAATCCAATAATACATAAAAATACATAATGACCAACTGGGGTTATCTCAGGAATGCAAAATTGGTTTAACATTTGAAAGTCAAGCAATGTAATGCACATATCAACAATTCAAAAAGAAAACTGTATGATCAGGTCAATATTCCCAGGTGATACAATCTGGATACTGGAGAATTCCACAATGAAAGACTTTCCTGATCAACATCATGAAGATTACTTAAAAATCGCAAAGGCTTATAAGCCCAAGTTTGTTGCTACATTACCACACTTACTGAGTATGTTTTCTGGAAGAGTAACTTTCATAAAGTTTACTCTCAGGGAAAAGAATATTTTGGAATGTGGCTATTGTAATTATCCATCGGAGCCAATGTCTAGTGCCATTGGTAACTTATAATCATGTCCCAGCATTTGGTTTTGAAAAAAAATAAATGCAGAATTTTTTGAGTGAAAAAAATAGATTCAGGAAAAGCATTTGACAAAATCCAACATCCATTTCAGGTTAAAAACAAAAAAACTCATCAAACCAGAAATAGAAAGGAACTTCCTCAACCTGATAGTGGAAGGGAGAAACCTACAGCTTACATCAAATTTAATTATGAAAGACTAAATGCTTCTCCCTAAATTAGGGATAAGGCAATAATACCCATATTCTATGAACATTATACTGGAAGTACTAGCCATTGCAGTAAAACAAGAAAAAGGAACAAAAGATAGCCAGATTGGAAAGAGAGATGTAAAACTGTCTTTATTTGCAAACCTAGTGTTAAGTATAAAATCTAATAGATTCTATTTTTTTCATTCACTTTTTTTAAATTTTCAGTTATCTCTACACCCAACATGGGGCTCAAGCTCACAACCCTGAGACCAAGAATCACATGCTCTACCAACTCAGCCAGCCAGGCACCCCTAATGGATTCTATTGTTTTAAAAAAGAAAATGATACTAGAACTAATAAGTGAGTTTAGCAAGGTTGCAGAACAGAAGATATTCTTTATTCTTTATACTAAAAATGGAAATAGAAATTAATAAGCAATACCACTTACAATAGCATTAAAATTTTAAAATACTTAAGGATAAATTCAACAAAACATGTGCAAGACTTGTACTCTGAGAACTACAAAACATTGCTGAGACAATCTGAAGAAGACCTAAATAAATGGAAAGATATACTGAGTTCATGGACCGGAAGACAATATTGCTAAGACATTAATTCTCCCCAAATCGCTCGATAGATTCACAATGCAATCCCAATCAAAATCTCAACAGCCTTTTTTTGTAGAAGTAGATAATTCTAACTTTATTTTCAATGTGAAGAGCTTTACATAGTCAAAACAACTTTGAATAATAAGAGCAAAATTGGAAAATGTCACTATCTGGTTTTGAGACTTCTTATAAAGCCACAGTAATTAAGAGAGTGTGGTATTGGCATCAAAATAAACAGATTAATGGAACAAAATAGAGAGTCTAGAAATAGATTCTCAAATATGTAATCAGGTGATTTTTTTTTTTTTTTACAAAGGTGTAAAAGCAATTCAGTGAAGCAAGGATAGTCTTTTCAACAAATGGTGCTGGAAAATTGGACATCTGTATGCAAATAACAAACTTTGATCCATACTTCACACCATATACAAAAATTTGCTGAAGATATATTGAACACTTACATGTAAAACCTAATACCATAAAACATCTAGAAGAAAACACAAGACAATGTCTTCGTGACCCTGGGTTAGGCTAAGATTTCTTAATATGTTGCCAAAAGCACTATCCATACAGAACAAATTGATAAATTGGACTTTATCAAAATAAAAAGCTTCTGCTCTTTCAAAGACTTTTTTAAGAAAATGGAAAGATAAGTCATTGACTAGAAAATGGGTTTTCAAGTCACATATCTAATAAAGGACTTATATCCAAAATATATAAAGAATTCTCAAAACCCAGTAATAGGAAAACAAACAACCCAATAAAAAGTGTGGAAAATATTTGACTAGATACTTCAAAAAAGAAGACATACAAGAGGCAAATAAGTAAATGAAAAACTGTTCAACATCAGTAGCCATCAGGGAGATGCAAATGAAAAACCACAATGAGATAACACTACATACCTATTAGAATGGCTAAAATTAAAGTGACTCTCCATACTAAGTGCTGATAAGGACATAGGGCAACTGGAACTGCTCAAAGACTATAAGTAGTACAACTACTTTGGAAAATACTTTGGTAGTTTCTTTAAGAGTTAAACATATACCTGCCTATCATACCATTCAGCCATTCCACTCCAACATATTTACACAAAAGAAATGAAAGTATATGCCTATACAGAGATTGTAAAATAATGTTCATAGCAGTTTTGTGTAGTGACCAAAAACTACAAATTACCCAAATACCTATATTTGGATAACTATCCATTTGAATGGATAAACTGTGGTATATCCATAAAATGAAATACTTCTCAGCGATTAAAAAGAATGAAGTATCAATAAATGCAACAACATGAATGAATCTCAAAATAATTATGTTGCCCAAAAGAAGACAGGTAAAAAGGAGCTGGGGGGGGGAGGAAGAGAGAGAGAGGAACCAAGTGGAAACAAGGTCTCAAGGCTCTCAAGGCAACGAAGGAGAAGCTTTTGAAGAAGTATGGGGCCTGCTTTCAGTAATAAACTATGGAAAGGTCAGTCAAGGCAAATACAGGATGAAAATGGGCCACAAAACCCAGCATTTAGGAGGCATTTTGTGATGATACTGAGAACAATTCCAAATATAATTTTGGGTACTGAAACCAGATTATGGAAGATTAAGAAATAAATAGAAGTTACAAAAATTAAGATGGAAAAAAATGGCGTTCTCCTTAATGGAGAGTGCAGACTGTGTTTTCATGAAGTTTAGTGGTTAAGGAAGAAGTTTAAAAAAAAAAAAAAAAAAGAAGTTTAAAAAAATTGGAGTTTACTTATAGACCAGGAGTACCTGGCTAAGGGACAGAGACAGGTTGACTCATGATATGGAAAAAATAAAAGACCTTGAACCATATATAATATCCAATCTAGATGGAATAAAAACTGAAGTATAACATTAAACTATAATGCTATCTGAAGAAAATGTAAAAAAATTGTTTTGTGATCCTTGGATAATGAAGACTTCTCAAGTAAAACCCAAGAAGTATAAAACCATGAGGTAAAAATGGATAGGTCTGACTACATCAAAATTAAGGATTTCTGTTCAATAAAGAACACAATAGATAAGATTAGCAGACAGTTACACTCAGAGGAGATAGATGCAACATCTAAAATTGTCATGGAGATATTAAAACATACAAAAAACTTCTACAACTCAGTAAGAAGGCTGGAAGCTGAGTAGAAAAATGGGCAAATGGGCAATTCACAGAAAAGAAATCCCGATTATGTACAGTCAAATTCACTGATAAGACATATGCACATTTAAACTACAATAAGGGGCGCCTGGGGGGCTTAGTCAGTTAAGTGTCCAACTCTTGATCTCAGCTCAGGTGTTGATCTCAGGGTCGTGAGTTCAAGCCCCGCATTGGGCTCCACACAGCATGTGGAATCTACTTGGAAAAAAAACCCCACTACAATGAGACGCAACTTTATAAAATAAGTAATATCAAAAGGTTGAAAAAGATCACTGGTTGTCAAGAACAAGAAAAAATGGGAATTCTCGTTCCCCACTGGGAGAGTGGAAGTTAATGGTGAAATTAAGCATCCTGAAACCCAGGAATCCTAGATAAATATGCACACTGAAAGGTCATGTATGAAGACGTTTGGGCAGGCAGTCATTGTGATAGCCTGGGTTCAAGGTACTTAGATGTTTATCACTGGGAGAATGGATAAGTAAAATATGACAAATGTTCATTATGGAATACAATGCAATGCTTAGGAGCAGTGAACTACACATATCTACACACCAACAAGAACAGATACTTTTTTAACATAATAGCGTGGAAAAAATAAAAACGAAAGAGGTCTAAGATTAGTCGCATTATTGTTCTCAGCAATTCACTCTCTTCACTGTGACAGGATTATCCATCCCACCTATTGGATGAAACTTGCAGTGACAATGTTCGCAACAGGTACACCTCCTCATCCCGGGGTTAGGATTAGATATGACTGGTGGGATCAAATGCCAAGTCCAAGCTGAAGTTTTAAGAAGCATTACCATTGCTGCCAATTCCTTTGCTGTTTTCTTTTGCAAGAGAATAGCATGTCCATCAAAAGGCTGGATCGTGGATCCTAAAGTGAGAATATGGAGGTAGAGAACTTCAACCTCCAACCCACAATCACTAACATGTAATGTGAGCAAGAAATAAATGTTGTCATAAGCCACTGAGATTTTAGACTTGTTACTTCAGCAAACCTGACTCATACAAGGTCTGTATCACAGTACTATCTATAAAAATTAAAAACAAGGAATACACACACAAACAACACATAAGGATACATACATATCCGAGGGCATATTTCAGTCACATTAGAGCAGATGCCTATAAAACAGGGTAAGGGAATAGGAGTGGGGAATGGGATAAGGGGATAAAGAAACAGACAAGTTTGATGGTGGTCACATGTTAAGAATTGAGGAGGAGGAGTAACCCAAAAGACAATAAGAAGCTCTGGAGCTGGGAGTAACTGTTGGAGGGAGGTCTCAGGGGGGTTGGGAGAGAAGGGAATCCAAGTAGAGAAGATCAGCCTTGGAATCCCCAGTTCATTCTGACAGAGACGCTGAGCGAAGTCCTGGTAAGGGATTCAGTTTTCAAGGTAACCTGTAGCAAAGCTGTTCTGCCACATGTGAGTGAGGAAGGGGGCTGGAAGAGAGAGATACGAGAATAAGAATTTCCTTTGTTCTCAAATAATTTATGCTTTTTTAAAGATTTTATAT